TTCACCAAATGAGGTCAAGGTTAGGAGTTTACTTTGATGCATTCCTTTGTCAAATACCTTTGATCCATAATGAATGAAGTTTTGTATATTTTATACTGACTTATAAGGTCATCATGCCTTTAAGGCATAGATCCCATGATTTTATGGCCTGCACTCAGTTACAAGTCCATCGTGATGATAATTGGGATCCATATTCTTGTTTTAACCTAGTTTGTTTGTGATGATGTTTTGAATTCTCTAAAGGACCAAGGTCCAACATCTTTGTGCTTAAGTTTTTATCTTAACCTCTCTTATCATCTCATTTATCATTCTTCTTTGATCCTTGGTTAAGCACTGACTTGCTAACCAACATGGTGATACATAAGAAGCCATATTCTCTTTTTTACTTATGTTTTGAGCATCATTTGATATGTCCCGTCTGTGTCTCCGCGGGGGAGATCGAGGACGGTCTTCATTCTGACAGGGAGGAGGAGTGTCATGTCTCCTGTGTCTTCTGGGGGCCCGACGAGTTTGTTCGAGCACCCTCAGCCTCTCATCCTGTGAAAAGATCAAGTAGTTTGTCTGGTTGATGACCGCGAACAGAGCTCTAGTCGTGGCATCAGCACTCGTAGGAACGAAGACCTCCTGGAAAGCATTTGGTTCATAGTTCTAGGGATGATAGTTGTTCTCGTGCGGTCGAGAGAGGAATGATGAAGATGCGGTCATCCTGTCTCTATAGTTCTGCTCGTGAGCGGCCATGTCGATGTCGTTCTCAATGTCGTTGTTGCCAATATTGTCACCAGCGTTGTTATTGAGGTCCGCGAGATGGGCATTTTGGTTGCTATCAGCAGCTTGGTCGGCCATGACAATCACAGTTTGATGGAGAGTTTCTTTAGTCTTGAGATGGAGACGGGGAAGCTGGTTTCCCACAGACGGCGCCACTAATTGTACCTGACCAAAATGGATTTTCAAAACCCCCAAGTTTCAAGTCGAGCAACAGTTAAGTGTGAAGTGGGGGATACCTGCAAGGCACTCTGATGCCAAAGTAAGTTTCAGAGTGAGTACTAAAAAGTATGAGAGTAAGTGAATGTGAAATGAATACCCAACAACATAGACTGTCAGGACTTACGTGTGTATGGAGTCCAACATGGGGCCTCCTCCCTGGTCATCTGCTTCGAGAAAATAGAAGTTGGACCTGTTATTCCCGGAGGGCAGTATGATGATGATATGGACACGTGGGAAACGTCTTCCTAGTGAACACGTGGGAAAATGCCCAACAGTCATTGGATTGGACTGCATGCTTTTGGACCTTTGATAAAGGCACTGGATTCGGCCTCCCCAATGGTGGGGAAAGTGTCGGCCCAGTCCAGAACAATGTCATTTCACTCTTGATCTTCATAAATCTCATTTGATCTAAGACAAGTGTCATCCATTTTCAGATGATGTTATTCATTAATTAGGTGACTTTTCTTGTGTATGAAGTTTCATCTTCTTACTTGGTTTCTCTTGAACATCATCTTGAGTTAACTTGCTATACAAGTCACACATTCTATAATTCTCCAATTATGCATTCATCCTTTTATCTATACTTGCTTAAATTGAACATGCTTGCTTGCCTCCTTTGGCCACTTCCTTTGTGTGATATGTGTGCATTCTTTTCCCCATGCTTGTGATGTTTGAATGTGTGATCTTAGAGATCATTTTATTTTGACTTGTATGGTTTGACACCCTCTAAACATGTTCCCTCTTCATCTATCACTTTCTTGTGTTTCACTCACCTTTAGGAACATGTTAGGGTTTGGTTTTGACTTAGTTTTGCCTTAACTTTTGAATATGCTTAAATAGTGATATCTTAGGGGTATTAGAGGTCTTTGATATGTGTTGTATTTATGTGTTTGCTTCTGACCTCACTCTTACTTGACATGTCATACCATGTTCACTTGATCACACACTTGTTCTCATCTCACATCATAACTTTGATTGAAACTAATGATACTTTTCAACAGCTTAAATTTACTCAAACCCTTGAACTCACTCTTTCTGATTTCCCTAAATATTTTGTTTGCTATAAAAGTAGGAACACATATGCATCAATTATATGCTAAAAAGGATATAATTGATGTCTGACTTAGGAAAATTTTACTTCGTGCACCAATAATTATTGTCTTATCCCTATAGTTTATTTAATTTGACTAAACTACCCTTAAATAAGTATTTTATCCCTATAGTTTATTTAATTTGACTAAACTACCCTTAAATAAGTATTTGATGTGTGAATTTTTTTTTTAAAAACTCACATTTCAAAAAAAATTACAATTCAATCTATTTCGGAAGACTTTAACCAAGTCATACGGTTAAACAAAACGACTCTAGACAACACAAACAAACCGTTGCTTAAAGTGACTAGTAATCCTTGCGCACTTCAGCTCACGATTTTTTATAAAATACACCATTTTAAACCGTAGTCTAAAACTGAAAACTATTATACTGTTTCGGGGGGCAACTATTCACCGGACAACTTTATAAGTGTTCCGGTGGTTTGATTTGTTTTCAAAATGTTAGACTTTAGGCAACGGTTTAAAACATGGCTACAGTGGTGTATTTTGTTCAAATTACTTACCGGAACAGTTTAATTTAGTGTTCCAGTTGGTTTCAAAATATTCACCGGACAACGGTGTAAAAGTGTTTCGGAGTTTTTAATTTTTTTTCTCAAAACTTTAGACTTTAGACAATAAAGCGTGGCTAAAGTGATATATTTTTTTTGTAAAACACGTTGGTTGAAGGTAAGAGTAGAAATAGGTTAGACCGAATTAGACTTTATCAAATTTAAGACTGACCTGTCAAAAAAAACTAATGTTTAAGTTTGGTCTGTAGGCTGTTATAGACTTATTTTTAGGCCTAAGTCTGAGCTTTTCTAAGTTCTGGTTAACTTATTAGAGCATCCACATCCATCATACCCATTTGGGTTCTTTAAATAGGACTCACATAATTTTTTATATTATTTCATACTTCTCAATTTTTTAAACAACTCATCTACAATTCTCAAATATCCATGTAACTCATTAAAAAATCTAAAATGGGTCTCACATTTAAAACAAATCAACTACATTCTTGTAATTTTATTTATTAATTTATTATCATGGCTCACTTAATTGGAGTGTAGAAGCGTGTTTTAGTATGAGGACATGCTTTAGTTCAGAAACGTGAAAACAAGTGAAATATCCATTTATTATTGACACAATTTCTTTAATAAATGTGTAGGAACTCTCAAAGAATACCGATAATCATGCTCTTAGCCTACATAAAAGTCTATTATTTTAGATATATGTAAATAAGAAATTTAAATAATGTTTAAATAGACTAACAAACTAAAAAACTAATGAGACTAAAAGTTTGTTTGTATTTATTTTAACTTAAATTTTATGAGATTATTTGTTTAAGAAGACTTGTGAAAACAACTTATAACATTTTTTATAAGATAATTTCATCTTATTACAAAATATAATATAATGATAATAAAAAAATTATTTATATTTATTTATATAAGCTGGTCTGTTAGACTTAAAAGACTTTTTTTCGTGGTTTAAAACTTAGTTTTTTTAACTAAATAGAATTATAAAAAAATGTTTTTTTTTTGCTTCCTAAAATCGATTTGTTTAACCGGAAGATTTAATTAAAGTTGTAATATTTCTTTCGAAATGTAACTTTTTTAATAATTTTTTTCAATCATTTAAAATATTTATTTGAAGGTATTTTAGTCAAATTAAATAAATTGTAGAGATTGGAGAAATGTCTCGGAGGCAATTGAGAAATAATTTAATATTTTTAATTGATGAACTTTTAAAGGTTTCTAAATAAAAGATACACTACAAAAGTAAGTAACTCGTTAGTTTTTGAGCACGATAATACACTATCGAAAGGGCAATACTATTATTAATTGAGGGCAAATACTATTAATTTCTATTATTTTTCTACAAACAAATTTCTCGTTATTATCTGAATCAAATTTGAACGAGTAAATCTTAAAACAAATCATTGTCATAAATCCTTCTTTATAATTTTTATTTAAATTGATTTTCAAGTTTTTGCAAAACAACTATTAAAATTTACCATCTTAGATAAACACATAAATACTAGAACTCATTACTCGAACCGGTCTCGGTCTCTAAAGAACGATAACCCTTTTATTATTTTGATATTTCTATACACTTGCGCCATGACAACCAGAGTTATAAATCTATGAAAGAGAATTAATTGATATTGTTTATGATACCAAAAATGGAGTTCTTATCAAGACTGATCAAAGGAGCATAAAAGATATTCTTGAGCAGCCGTTACACACTCGCCTCCAACAAGTGTGGGTTTGAAGCATATGCTTTATCCAGAAATGTGGGGATGAACGTCTACCATTCATGCTAAATTATGCTCAACTATACATGTTGGAATGGATAAAAAGGTCATGGAAAAATAATAACCATTTAAGAATTGATAAAAGATCCCACCGCAGTTCCTAAATGTTCTTGGGTGAGAGGAGAATTTATAAGACAAAGCAATTTTATAATGGTTACATGATTCAGCTTTGGGAGGCCACTTTGGCAGAGATATTACATTATCCAAAATCAAAACCTTGTTCTATTATGAGATATATGGAACAAACCCAGACAGATGCAGTCCCTACATGGATTTTTCTTTCTTTCAATAAACAATAAAGTGTTTTTTCATTTCTATCTAATCTACCACTTTCTAAATGCTTTGGCATTAATATGAGTTTGTTTGGTGGTTTTTAATTCCATACTTAAATATGTTTTATGTATGGTAGAGAGTGCTTTAGATTTATGTTTTTTAAATTATACTAGTAACTTCAAAACATAGTGAACTTTATAGGAAGTAAAGAAAATTCATATAGCTTTTACTCAAAATTTGTAATGGTTTAACAGGACCAAAACTGTGTTGTAGCCACCAGAATGAATAACAAATTTCCGGTGGTACCTTTCATTTTTGCAGTGTTAGTTACTATGTTCCTAATCAAGCTCTTCATCATTTTCATTATCCTCTAGATCTTCTCCATCTCCATCTTCATCTTGATCATCATCTTCACCGCCTTCTGAATCTTCGTCATTATTGTCCATCTCATCATCAGTTTTTCCTTTGTCACCAGGTTTTCCTGACGCTGGAAGAAATAGAACAACGGAAATGTTAGTTAATCTCCACTATGAGAAAGATAACAAGAGTGAAGCTTTTATGGTTGTTCTCTATTAGAAAAAGTGTAGGATGATGTACCAGATTCGCTGAAGAGGACTTCACCCGAACACAATCCCTTCTCAATCCTAACGAGTTGAAGAGTCATCCTTGGACCAATCTCTTGAAGTCTTACAGCACTTTTTGTAGCAGCCCGGTTAACTCTACCAATATTACTAGACAAAGTCACTGTTGCTGCTTCTTCATCTGCTTCACTTTCTGATCCATAGCCAGCCCTTACAATTCACAAATGAAAAATAAAAATGAAGCATTAACTATGGTTAATTATTTTGTACAACACAATTATATAGGAATAACAATCATGAAAGATTCCACTAGAAAAAGTCACTTTTGAAAACCATTTCACAAATTTATCAGACAACTTCATTAAAGGTTAATTTCATTGTGATTCTGATTACTACCTTACGATTTGCACCATGCAATTGTATAATTGCAAGCATGCCAATGCCAGGGTCAGAAATTGATTATACTAGCTCTTCTAGTTCTTCCAGCTAATAATTCAAATAAAAGAAGAAAAACAAATGAAAGCTTATGTAAATGAACAAGCATCTTACTTTGTGACAAAATCGCTCACGTCTTGAAGATTCCTTAGATCAGGAACCTGATGGCTTTGAACAAGTTTTCTAATTCTCCGTGAAACACCTATAGGTTGTAGTCTAATCGAATAATGCCGAAAATCAATGAGCTTAGTGTCTTTGTTGTAATTAAGCAACACAATTCTTTGGCAAGAAGCGAGTTTGACCTGAAATATGTTGTGGCATTAGGAAACGAGCTTGGATGTCAAGTAAGTCTTTAATTTGTTAGTGTCTATGAAACTCACAGTTTTAACGTCGATTGTTGGAAAAATATTCTGGAACATGTTAGTTGTAAGCCGTAAAGGTAAATCTCCACTGACAAATCCAGAAAGCACAATCTGATATAAAAACATGACAACATTAATATTGGAAGCCAAAAATATAATATATAATCAAGTGATGATTTGTTCAGACATTCTGTTTTTTACTATCTAATTTTTAATTTTTAATTAACAGATAAACACTTTACCAATGCAGAATTTTTAAAAAGATCCTTAGGGCATCGAGGATGCAATTGAGATCGAGCAATATCAGCAGCCAATGCGTATTCTTGTATCTTAAATGTAAGAGTAGGTCCTTGTGGGGTAGTTGCAACCCTCAAGTAAGGCGCAGATGCAGTTTTTGACAATATGAGGAAATGTGTAACGCCCATTGGTCCAGCAACGTTCAAAAAGTCTCTCAGACTATTCCGTTTCTTCTCCTGCAAAATAGGAAACACGAGAGTATATGGTCAAAACTAGCATTCAAGCCAGCATAGCACATGTGACTGAAACAGGTTAAATTGTGTATATTATTGTGTCACAGTTACAAATCTCTACAACAATCAATTTTATTGGGTAAATTTCAACATGCTTCTATTTTCATATCTTAAACTCTAAGGTATAACAATCATTTTCGGCCAATTCAATTAATTTGTCTAGAAAATCTCAATTATAGAAATTGGAACCACAAAGTTATAAAAACCTTAGTATGAATGTAAGAACCACAAACTTATTTTAAAATTGAGAAACTCCCATAAGTTATAAACTAATTCAAACCAGGACTACGATAACAGAATAAGGTATCACATTGTCAATAGCCACTCTCAGATACAACAATGTTTTACTAAAGTTAATCAATCATTCCAAAGGTCTCCAGATACACAGGCATATAAATAACTAATACCAGAACAGTTTAGTTGAGCTTATGACACAATTTTCAAGTTGTTTTCACAAGCTATCTAAATAGCTTATGAAAAAAAGTTACATCTTTTGTAATAGAAAAGCTTATAACAATGGTCATAAAAATCGATCAAGAAATGAAGATTAACCTTGAGACTGAGTGCAGTATAAGGAAGCATCAACTTCCTAAGGTCCATCTGAAGCTGTTTAAGAGGGACAGGCAACTTCCCTCGTGCAAAAACAAAACTTTTCGGTATCTTCTTCCCCGTAATGGGATCAACACTAGGCTGTGACTCTGGTTGCTTACTATTCCTCTTGTTCTTGATGACAACAGGCCTTCTAAACCCATTTTGCTTCTTCCTCTGTTTCATTCATTCCAAGCATAATGCACCAACATTAAAAATAAATAAAAAACACAAGTTCAATTTTTAAGCTAGGGTTTGATACTAAATACGTCTCAACAATCGGAATTTTAAAATATATAAAACCTAAACGAACAAAGTAATGATGATGATTGGATATAGAATGAGAGAGTACCATGGTTTGGGGCGGATCGTATCGGAGATTAATAGCGGCGCCGGAGACGGAGAGACACGACGGAGAGTTGGAGGTATGGGTCAATTACGGCTGCTGGTGCTAGGTTTGTTTAGCATATTGCAGAATTCAAAATATTTGAAGTAAATCGGGTCGGGTTATGGTTTCGTGCTAACCTGGTGCCCGATCCAGAAGAATACTCCAGTCCATAATATTATTTTACTAAAATTACTATATGTTGATTTTATTTTATTTTAAAAAATATTTTAAATTATGTATTATACTAATAAAATGGGTTCTGTTTTTTTTTTTTTAAGTAAAGTTAAAATCAATTAGTTGAAAAAATATTAGTTTTTGATAAACTTTACTGTTTTTTTACTTTTAAATATAGTAAAATCTTGAAATCTTTTTATTAAATATTTTTTTAAATATTTGGAGCCTGATAATTGAAGTTGTTATACTTCCTATGTTCTCGTTAAAGTTTTGTTATTTGTTAATTTAGTTTTTTTGTTTTGTTTGTCATAATTGAATCTTCTTACATAGTTATAAGTGTACGTATAAATTAAACTATTTTCTTAAAGTTGGCGCATGAAAGCATGATTTGAGTTATATCATTTAAATAACATTTTATTTTTCTTAAGAAGAGAATTGATTGATTCAAATAAAAAATTATGTGTGAAAATTAGAAATTGATTTTGTATTTTTTATTGAAATCATGAAAAGTGCGACTCAAATTATATATTTTTAATTCAAATCATAAATTTGTCTAACTCGAATCAATGACTCAAATCTTGAAATAATATGATTCAAGTTATATACTTACTCAACTCTAACCATTCTATTTTCTAAAGAGGTACTCCCTCCGGTCTCATTTATAAGAAAAAATTAACTTTTTATATACATTGAATAAGTAATGTATTTGGACAATATATTGTCAAAATACATTACTTATTTAATGTATCTAAAAAGTTAATTTTTTCTTATAAATGAGACCGGAGGGAGTATTTTTTATAATCTATATATATATATATATATATATATATATATATATATATATATATATATATATATATATATATATATATATATATATATATATATATATATATATATATATATATATATATATATATATATATATATATATATATTTGTTAGATTTAATCTATATTTTAGGAATATCTTTTTAGATGATATTATTATATCTTTTTATATTTTTGTTAGAAGATATTTTTAGGATTTTATTTTGTGTATAAATAGCATAGTGAGGTAGCTCAATGTAATTTCATTGTAAATTATTATTCCTTATTTTTGTAGTCGTCATTTAATATATTTTTTTCCTTTCATCCCTTTCTTGTGCACCAACAATTGATATCTAGAGCTCCGATTTGAAATCTACAGGAAAACGGGAAACACGAGAGAATAATGAGGTGTTATGTGATAATCGTTGTTTCTGATTCTGGGATTTGGGAAACACTGCTTTATTGAGTTTCTGCGTAAATTGCACAAGGTAGAAGATGAACGGAAACAGCGGCGATGTCTATTCCAAGCTTCAAGTATTTGATGGCAAAAACTGGAATTGGAAGATCCAGATGTGCGTGTTATTTGGTTCTCAAGATGTGTTAGATCTTGTCACGGATGGCTATGATCTGTTAGAAGCAGACGCAACAGAGACACAGAAGATAACACATAGGACGCTAAGGAAGAAAGATCAGAAGGCGTTGTTCTACATCCATCAATGTGTGGATGCAAACGTGTTTGAGAAAATTATTGATTCTGAAACAGCAAAGACTGCATGGGACACACTGGTCAGATGTTACGGTGGTGACGCATCAGTGAAGAAGGTGAAGCTTCAGTCTCTTAGAAAGTAATATGAGAATCTCAACATGAAAGACAACGAGAAGGTTTCTAAGTACATCTCTAGAGTGATTCGATCATTAATGAGATGAAAACTTGTGGAGAAACTCTTTCTAAACAAATAATCATTGAGAAGATCTTGAGATATTGAACTTCTCAGTTTGATACATTGTGGTAGCAATTGAATATTCCAAAGATTTGAGCACCATGAGAGTTGAAGAGCTGCAAAGTAGTCTAGAGACGCATGAGTTGCGTATGACTGCAAGAACTTCCGAGAGGGAAGTAGAGCAGCTGGCTCTGAAAGTAACTTCTGGTAAGAAGTATCAGAAGCAGACTTGGTTAGAAGCCAGGAAGAAAATTAAGGATGGTCAAAGGTCAGAAGCTTCAAACTCTGATAGGCAGAAGAATGTCCATAAGGGAAAGGAGAAGTCTGACAAGAAGAATGCTCAGTGTTACTGTTGCAAGAACTTTGGTCACTATGCCAAAGATTGTTGGTCAAACAAAAAAAGGAAGTCAGAAGAAGCAAATATAGCCATAGGAGAGTCAGATGATGAACTTGTGCTATTGTTGGCTTCTGAACCCGATGATCTAAATTCATCAGAATGGTGGTACATGGACACAAGGTATTCAAACCATCTTAATGGAAACAAGAAATGGTTGGTTGATTTTGACTCTGGGAAGAATACAAAGATCAGATGTGCTGATGATAAATACCTCAATGCAGAAGGTATAGAAAATGTCATAATTATCCTAAACAATGGGAAATCAACAGTGATCCAAAACGTATGGTATGTACCTGGCATGAAAAGCAATATGATGAGTATGAGACAACTGATTGAGAAAGGTTTTTCAGTTATCATGAAGGATAATCTTTTGAAGTTGTATGATTGTAATCAAAAGCTGATTATGGGGTCAGAACAGGGAAGGAATAGAATATTCAAGGTGAATGTTAGAACTACAGACTCTGAATGTCTTAGTGCAATAAGTGTTGTCAAGGAGAGTAAGTTATGACACAAAAGATTTGGTCATCTGAATTTCAGAAGTTTAGGGCATCTGAAATCAAAGAATCTGGTACATTGAATTCCTACAATCAAGAAGCCTGAAAAGTCATGCAAGGTTTGCATGGAAGGGAAGCAACCAAGATTACCATTTGCATCAGAAGTAGCTCCAAGAGAAAAACATGCCTTAGGATTAGTGCATTCTGATGTGTGCGGTCCTTTTCCAGTAGCATCAACTGGAGGGAATAAATATTTTGTGTCATTTGTTGATGAGTTCACCAGAATGACATGGGTATCTCTCATAAAGTTTAAACACGAGGTGTTTGCTGAACTCAAGAAGTTCAGACTGAAGGTTGAGAATCAGAGTGGCCAGACTCTAAAGATTCTTAGGACTGATGGTGGTGGTGAGTATAACTCCAAAAAATGCAGAAGATTCTGTGAGGAGAATGGAATTGAGCATGAGGTTACTGCTTCATATACTCCTCAAAACAATGATCTTGCTGAAAGAAGAAATCGTACTTTGCTTGATATGGTGAGAAGCATGCTGAAAGAGAAGAAGCTTTCTCATATTATGTGGGCGGAAGCTGTTGCAATTGCATGTTATGTGCTCAATAGATGTCCAACGAAGAAATTGAAGGAAATAGTTCCTATTCAGAAGTGTATTGGAGATAAGCAAAGTGTTAGTCATCTGAAGGTGTTTGGTTCTGTATGTTACAAACATGTCCCAGAAGCCAGAAGACAGAAGTTGGATGATAGAAGTAAAGTGATGTTGCTGGTGGGGTACCACAGTACAGGTTCGTACAAACTTTATTGTCTATAAACTAATAAAGTTGAGTTCAGCAAATACGTCATTGTAAAGAAATCAAAAGTTTGGAATTGGGAAAGGTCTCGTCCTGACTCTGATGAGAGAACTCTTGAAGAAAAGTCAGAAACTCATGTTTCTGAAGCTGGTAAAGACTCTGACTCTGAAGAAGATACAAAAGGAGAAGATGATTCTGACTCTGACTCCGATGGTGATCCAGACTCTGAAGACAGTAAAGGTTCTGAAGAAATTCCAATTTCTGAAGCAAGTGCTTCTGAAGGGGAAAGTTCTGGTGTCTAAAGTTCTAAAGGTCCAGTTCAAAGGCAACAAAGAGTCAAAAGCATCCCAAGAAGATTTTCAGAGTTTGACATGTTGCAAGACACTGAAGTAGACTCTGAAGGAGAAGTTATTCAGTGTGCAATGTTAGTAGACAGAGGCTCTTAAGCATCAAGTTTGGTTACAGGCCATGAAAGAATAACTTGATGCTATATAGAGAAACAAGACTTAGAAGCTGACAGAACTTCCAAAAGGCCAGAAAGCCATCAGTGTCAGATGGGTTTTAAAGAAAAAGCTAAAGCCAGATGGATCAATTGGCAAACACAAAGCAAGATTAGTAGCAAGAGGCTTTCTACAGAAGCCTGAGCTGGATTACTTTGAAGTGTTTGCACCTGTAACGAGACATGAAACAATCAGACTAGTGATTGCAATAGCTACTAACAAGAATTGGCCTCTGATGCATTTAGATATAAAATTTGCATTTTTGAATGGTCCATTACAAGAAGAGATATACATATCACAACCTCCTGGATTTTAGAAAAAGAATCAGGAAGGGATGGTGTTCAAATTACACAAAAGCAAGCGCCCAGATCTTGGAATTTGAAGATTGATTCGTTTTTCAAGGAACAAGGGTTTCAGAAGTGTGAGATAGAGTATGGTGTTTATGTTCAGCATACTTCAGAAGGTAATATGGTTTTGGTCTGTTTGAATGTTGATGACATATTACTCACAGGAAGTTTTGAACAAGAGATAGTTGAGTTCAAGAAAGTTCTGAAGAATGCGTTTGAGATGATTAATCTTGGGAAAATGAGTTTCTTTCTAGGGATTAAATTTATGTACTCTGAGAAAGGAAGCATTTTGCATCAGATGAAGTATGAACTTGAGCTTTTGAAGATATTTGAGCTAGAGAATTGCAAAGTTGCTATCACACCTGCTGATACGAATCAGAAGTTGGACTCTGATTCTGATGGAGACGATGTGGATGCTATAACCTTCAAATAAATGGTTGGTTCTCTGAGGTATTTGTGTAATAACAGACCTGATATTTGTTATGCAGTTGGAATGTCCGCAAA